AAATCAGCTGACTGTCTTATGGGAACTTCTCTGTAGGTAACTTAACTGCTTTTCTCTTGCTGCTTTTAAGATTCTCTCTTTATCTTTAACATTTGGTGTTTTATTATATGATATATCTTGGAGTAGGACTCTTCCCATCCATCTCGTTTGTGGCTCTATGTACTTCTTAGATGTGCCTGTTTATTTTTCTCACCAAATCAGGGAAGTTTTTCATTATTTTTCCACATAGATTTCCAATTTCTTGCTCTTTCTTTTGTCCTTCTGGCACCCCTTATGATGGAAATACTGGAACACTTAAAGTTGTCCTAGAGACTCCTGGCTCTATTCTCATTTTTTTGAATTCCTTTCTCATCTTGTTGTTCTGACTGGTCGTGTTTTGCTTCCTTTCGTTCCAAAAAATTGACTTGATTCTCAGCTTCATCCACTCTATTGTGATTTCCCTGTAAATTGTCCTTTGTTTCCATTAATGTATTCTTAGTTTGCCTGGATTTTTTTTATGCTTTTGAGTTCCTCACTAAGTTTCTTGAGCATCCTTATAACCAGTATTTTGAACCCTGTAGATTACTTATCTCCATTTTGTTTCGGTTTTTTCCTAGAGTTTTGACCTGTTTCTTCATTTGAGCCATGCTTCTTTGTCTGCTTATTTTGGCAGCCTCCCTGTTTGTTTCTATGTATTAGGGAGATCTGGTATGACTCCCTGTCCTAGTATTATGGCCTATGCAGGAGGTGTCCTTTAGGGTCCAGTGGCACAGCCTCCCTTATTGCCCAAGCTGGCTACTTGTGATGCACCCTTCATGAGTGCTTAGTATACCCTGGTCTTGTAGTTGAGCCTTGGTTGCTGTTGCAGGTCATAGCAGGAATTTACCCAGGGCAGTCAGCTGCAAGGATTGGCTGTGACCACTGACCAGCAATGTCTGCACTTATGGAATACCAGCTATGTAGGGGCAGGGTGTTGTTGCTCCCACATGGTCTGTAGCTGTGCACTGGATGTGTAGGCCACATCCAGGTGGTGTAGGCCAAAGTTAGTCAACTCCTCTGCTTTGCCAGGTCCAACCCTGCCTGAGCTATAGAGCAAAATGTGATGGCTGCTACTTGTTGGGCTTGGAGACTTCCAGGCAAAGCCAAGCTATGCATGTAGGCTGGCTGCTGCTGGTGCTGTGCCTGAGGCTCTTAGCAAAAGGGACTGGTTCTAGGGGCTCACTGAATTTAGTAATTACTTGTTTGAAGGGATTTAGGAACTTGTGAAGCATGAGCTGAGACCAGCCATTCATGTAGAAGAGCCATTGTTAACAGTTACAGTTGGATGGGACAGAGTCTCTGGGGATCTCCAGGTGGGGACAAACAGTGGTAGCAGGTTGATGGAGTGTCAGATATGGTACCTGCCTGCTGGCTCCCTATCTCTCCCCACCATTCTATCTGGGAAAAAGCTGACCCCCAGCTCTTGCCTTGATGACAGACACTTCAGTTGGTCCCTGTATTCCATTGGTGCCTTACAGGCTGCTGCCCTGGTGCTGGATCTCAGAGGGAGTTATTCTGAGTAAGGTCATGTGTGGCTTTTTAAGTGGAGCTAGTTGGGGCTCCAGCCGTTTTTTCCACCAACTCAATCCCTGATGGTTTTCGCAACTAGAAGTTATGGGGAGTTATGTTCCTGGCAGTGGAACCGTGGGCGGGGGTTCCTACTGTGGGAGTGGGACTCCTCACTCCCAACATTGCCCTCCCGATTATTTCATCCCTCACATATGGATGTGGGACAAGTCCTTTTCACGTCTCTGCCCTTTCTTCTAGTCTAGATGGGTGTGGTTTCTTTGAATTGTATTTTTCAGACTTCTGTTCAACTCAATCTCTGATGACTCTAATGGTTGTTTTATGATTTACTTGTAACTTTGATGTGGTTGTAAGTGGAGGTGAGGTGTGTTTACCTATGCCGCCATCTTGTCTGTAGTTCCCAGGAGTATTTTGATTTCAATTGCTTAAAAGTTTGGGATTATTGGAATGTATCCCCAAACCTGGAGATCTACATTTTCTAATTCCTATTGGATGTATTGCTTATACCATTTCTGTTTTATGGAAACTGCAGGTGCAGTATCTTGGTGGTAAAATGGGTTGTTAAGTTACATCATTATTGTATGGAATAATATAGCGTAAATTTCCTTGTAGGAACTGCATTCAGTGCAACCAAAATGGTGAGTAAATCAGTATAGGATGCTCATTTGATCACCTGTTGTATTCATAACAGCATGTTACAGTCAGAATTTGGAGAAATATTCTTTAGAGCATATGAGGGTTATAGTAATGGAGTTCAAAATTTTTTTTAGTGTATCCAGCAGTTATTTTTCAAAGGATATCAGTCCTTTGAATTGGATAGGATATTACACTTGGGAAGAAAGGAGAAGCTTTAGATGACAGAGACAGACCCTCAAGGAGGTGGATGTTCAGTTGAGAAGCAGGCATCTCTAAGCTGTACTGTCCTTCCTGGTACCAGGGCCTCCCCTGGCCCAAGACTCCAGCTTTCATGACTCCACTTATTCACAATAGCTTCTCACTGCCTCCTACTTGTGCGTGTGCCTTTCTGTCAGCTGTTCTCCAACAGCAGGCAGGTCAGGTCACTTCTCTGTTTGCCCTTGCAAGACGTCCCATCCCACTAATACAGTCCCACATCCTTTGTGTGCCCCTCAGGGTCCTGCCTGATCTGGCCACCCATGCCCTATCTGGTTGGGTTTCCTGTCCTGAGCCTTTCCACAACACTGTATTGCTGCTTTCTGTGTTTCTAACTTGCTGACCTGCTTCTGACCTGTGTTTGTGCCTCTACCTTACAGCTTCTTGCTTGTTCGTCCATATTCTGCCCCATGGGCCCTCCTGGTTCCTGCCCCTGTTGCATGTGCTCCAGTATCATCTTATCATAGATACCTGCTCTAACCAGTCTGCTTATAAACTTCAGCTCCTTCCTCTGCCTTGTTTTCTGACTCATTATTAATTGCCAGCTGATATAGAAATGGATTATATTTTGTTTACTTGTTTATGGTCTCTCTCCCCATTACATTCATTAACTACTCATATGATGAATGGATGGATGGATGGATGGATGGATGGATAGGTGGTCCCATTTCAGTAGTAGGAAGAAGGCTCCTCACAGCTTATTCTAACCAGTAGTCTCTGTGTTGCCATGGTGAGCTCTGCCCCATTCATTTACCCGGTAACATCCTCCCTGCTAGCCTGCTTTCTCCTCCCTTCCCTCATTCTGCCTTTATTCAATCCCTTCTTCCTACATTAATCTTTACTTTGTATATCCTTCAGGTAAACCCTGCCTAAAATACAGTCATTATAGTCACCTGTATTGGATATAAGTACAAAAAAATCAAGAAGTATATCAGACAAAAAACCCAGGAAAATCTAGCTGAGGCTCTGCTTGTTGCAAATATGGGGGAAGTTTTCTCTGTCTTTCTGTCATTCTGTCATTTCTGTTCTTCATGCTGCATGAAGATTCTGTGCAAAACCTTGGACAGACTTGCCTCCTGGTGAATTATGAACCCAGTTACAACTGGCGTCAGTTTTTCCTTACCAGGTAGTTTTCCAATGGGAGAGAAAAGCATCAATCAGTGGCCTCCTTTACATACCCAGGGCAGGACTGGAGGATTGAACCCATATCCTTGATATGTGTTCTGACTAGGAATCAGTCTCTCAACCTTTCAGTTACAGGACGTTACTCCAACCAACTGAGATACCCAGCCTGAGCATTTTTGTTTGTTTGTTTGTTTGTTTAAAGGAAGGAAATTTTGTTGTTTTGTTGTTATTTATTTATTGGTTGATTTGAGAAGGAAAGAGATATTTAGACATTGACTTGTTCCATTTATGTATGGATTCATTGGTCTATTCTTGTATGTTCCCTCACTAGATATGGAACCCTCAACCTTCATACTGGGTCAGCACTCTAGTGTACTAAAGTACTCAGCCAGGGCTGCTTTGTCTTCTGGAATAAATCTTTTATTTTGGAATTTTGGGGCATCTTTTTATTGAAATATTTGCAAATAACTGCAGTATACCTTCATGAATGTTCAGGGAGTAAAACGACTTTATATTTCAGTTCTTTTTATTGAGGGGACATTTATAGACACTCATCTCAAGCATGCCATTTGATGAGTCGTGACTCATGGATGTACCTTTGTAACTCACAGGCCTCCGAAAACTGAACAGATCGTACACCATATGTACCTACATCTCCCTTCTTAAAATTTATTTTGGCAACATCAGAACAGCCCCAGCTTTTTGTATTTTGTATTTATTTATTTTAGGGAGAGAAAAAGAGAAACATCCTTCTGTTGCCTCCAGTATGTGCCCTGACTGGAGATTGAATCCACCACCTTCTGGTGTAGGGGATGATGCCGCAATCAACTGAGACACCTGGCAAGGACACTTTTGCCGTATTCTGTTGGCTTCCCAGACTAATTTTGGTACATTGTGGGAAGGCATTTGATACCATATGGATATCAGCAGGCAGCATGATACAGATATCATTGGGGACCGTCCTGTATGCTGGTTACCAAGACATCTTTTCATATGTGCAGATGCATATCTAGTGTACAAAACCTGGAAGATGTTGTTAGTCATTGGTCTTCATCAGAACATTCAGCCAAACTAAGTGGCAGCAATCATCATAGGACATTTTACTCCCATAAGATGTGTGAGTCACGGGTATGAGTTTTCTAGTTTTTTCCACTTAGAACATTTACCATTTTGCTGAGAGCATCACCTGATCTGTAGTCATGTATTTCTACTTTTGACCTCATATATAAGTCTTGGTATAGCTCCAAACGAGTCACCTTAACAGGATAGACAGGAGCCTACTCATCACTTCTTTGTTTCCTTAGGCATGAGAAGGCCTATGGTGAATGCCAAGCTGACTGAATAAGGTCTCCCAGGATGGTTGACCTGTGAGATTTTTATGTGTGAGTGGACATTTTCTCATCCTGCTTTTCATGTTTGAATTCTTCTTATCTTTCCAGCACACTGGAACCAAAATGAGATGGAGAGTTTTCACGAAGTTGCATTAAGGTACCTTTTACATGAAGACCTTGTGTGCCGGCAAATATGGGACCAACTTCTGAGTATGTCAACCAGAAGTCAAGACTTGATAAGAAATCTGCGAGGCAAGAACTCGGATTTGCCAAAACAAGGTGATTCCTTCTGTCACTTGTGTGCAGGAGAATCTGCTCAGGATTTGGAAGATGAAGAATATGTAATAAAGCTTCAAGGGGAAGTTCAAAATTTCAATAGTATAAAATACCAAGAATTTCCAAGGAGGACCATCCAGAATTACCTGAAGAAAGTGTATCTGAGAGAGTCACAGAATGATCAGAGTAGGTGTCAGCAGGGTGACGGCAGATGTAAACTGCGCGAGTGTGAGCACCGTGTCAGGAGAAGGACCTCTGGTCTCCACAGTGATGATCAGGAAGTGAGGAAAGGAGAGACGTCTTATAGCCACAAGAATTGTCAGAAAGACTTCGTGAAGGAATCATTCCAACAAAATGTAATCCACTCAGAAGAGCACACCTCTTCCAGAAATGGAAAAGACATCAGCCTTAGCCCCAGACTTGAGCATCAGCAATTGCACCTGGGCACAGAACATCACATATATAGTGATTTTGGGGAGGGTGAGAGTTCTAGCTCCGAGCTCTGCACTCATCCAAGTGTTCACACAGAAGAGAAATGCAAAAGGAGTGATGAGTGTGGTGAGGAGGTCAGTCAGAGTTCACATCAGCAAACTGACCAGCGAGTCCACACTGGGGATAATCACTACAAACATGCCCTGAATGGGAAAAGCATCAGTCACATTAGTCATCAATATCGTCAGCAAATTTGCACTGGACAGGAACCTTACAAATGCGCTGTGTGTGGGAAGAGCTTCAGTCAGACCTCCAGCCTTCAATCTCATCAGCGACTCCACAGTGGAGAGAAAGTCAACAAATGTGCTGAGTGTGGGAAGACCTTCAGTCGGAGATCAAAACTGCAAATTCATCAGCGAGTCCACACTGGAGAGAAACCCTTCAAATGTCCTGTGTGTGGGAAGAGCTACAGTCAGAACTCCAGTCTTCAAGGTCATCAGCGAGTGCACACTGGAGAGAATCCCTACAACTGTGCTGTGTGTGGCAAAAACTTCAGTCGGAGTTTACATCTTCAAGTTCACCAGCGAATCCATAATGGAGAGAAAATCAACAAATGTGCTGAGTGTGGAAAGAGCTTCTGTTATACATCCACTCTTCAAGTTCATATGCGAGTTCACACTGGAGAGAAACCCTACAAATGTGCTCTGTGTGGGAAGAGCTTCAGTCGGAGTTCATACTTTCAAGGTCATCAGCGAGTTCACACACAACAGGAACCTTACAAATGTGCTGTGTGTGGGAAGAACTTCAGCCACACCTCCAGTCTTCAAGCTCATCAGCGAGTCCACACTGGAGAGAAACCCTACAAATGTTCTGAGTGTGGGAAGAGTTTCAGTCGGAGTTCAAAACTTCAAGTTCATCTGCAAGTCCATGCTGGAGAGAAACCCTTCAAATGTGCTGTGTGTGGGAAGAGCTTCAGTTGGAGTTCAGAGCTGAAAGCTCATCAGCGAGTCCACACTGGAGAGAAACCCTTCAAATGTGCTGTGTGTGGGAAGAGCTTCAGGTTGATGTGCAGTCTTCAAACTCATCAGCGAGTCCACACTGGAGAGAAACCTTACAAATGTGCTCTCTGTGGGAAGAGCTTCAGTCAGAGATCTGGACTTAAAGTTCATCAGCGAGTCCACACTGCAGAGAAACCCTACAAATGTGCTGTGTGTGGGAAAAGCTTCAGTCACATGTGCACTCTTCAAGGTCATCAGCGAATCCACTCTGGAGAGAAACCCTACAAATGTGCTGTGTGTGGGAAGAGCTTCAAACGGAGTTCATGCCTTCAAGTTCATCAGCAAGTACACAGTGGAGAGAAACCCTACAAATGTTCTGTATGTGGGAAGACCTTTAGTAGGCGTTCATATCTTCAAGATCATCACCGAGTCCACTCTACAGAAAAACCCTACAAATGTGCTGTGTGTAGGAAGAGCTTCAGTCGGAGTTCAGATCTTAAAGTTCACCAGCGATTTCACACTGGAGAGAAACCTTACAAATGTGCTGCGTGTGGGAAGACCTTCAGTCAGAGCTCCGGACTTCAAGTCCATCAGCGAGTCCACACCGGCGAGAAACCCTACAAATGTGCTGTGTGTGGGAAGAGCTTTAGTCAGAGTTCACATCTTCATGTTCATCAGCATATTCACACTGGAGAGAAACCCTACAAATGTGCTGCGTGTGGGAAGAGCTTCAGTCAGAGTTCAGATCTTAAAGTTCATCAGCCAGTTCACACCGGAGAGAAACCCTACAAATGTGCCATATGTGGGAAGAGCTTCAGTAGGAATTCAGATCTTAAAGTTCATCAGCGAGTTCATACTGGAGAGAAACCCTACAAATGTGCTGTGTGTGGGAAGAGCTTCAGTCAGACCTCCAGTCTTCGAGGTCATCAGCGAGTCCACACTTGAGAGAAACCCTACAAAAATGGGGTGTGTGTGGTGAGATTTTCAGTTGGCACTTAGTTCTTCAAGCTCATCGGGAGTTCCACATACTGAAAAACCATATAAATACAGCAAACCTGGAAGAAGCTTCAGCCTTCAAGGTCTTCAAGTAGACTGTAGAGTTCATACTGTGTAGCACTGTACAAGTATTTTTGTTGTGGTAAGGGCTTTAGTAAGACTTTTATGTCTGCAGGTTCATCAGAGAGTACATATTGGTTTTATCATCACACCTGATGGATGTGTGATAAAAGTGTTCCTCAGAGCTTAGACCTCTGCCTTTCATCCAAAAACCTACACAGTCTAGAATATCTATAAAATGTTGTGAGTTAAGAATTCAGCATGAGGTTAGTTTTCTACAAGTCATTTGAATTCCATTGGAAAACACCTCCTTCTGGCACAAATGTGGACAGTGTTCTGGCTCGCTTCAAAACGTGACCATTCTTCAGAGAAACCTGATGAGAGCAGTAGTGTAAGTTTGTATGAACCTTCAAGCTCTCTGAAGTCTACACAGGAGAGAGGCTTAAAAGTAAACACCACCGGACCTTAGCAAATGTACAGTGACGGATTGGACAAAATTTACAAACACGAGAACCTCACCACTGTGGATGCTGGAAGTTTGTTCACTGCTGATTGACCATGACAGCAAACCAGTGCCTAAGCAATAGTAGGTTCCTAGAGATGTCTCACTTAAGGGAGAAGAAAAGCTATGAAAAATAGGGTAACTATATGAAAATTCTTATGAGCCCAACCTGAATTAGAAATAGTAAATTGTAATAGCAAAAGGATTTTTGTAAGAAACTTTGAAACTTAATTCAAGGAGCTTTGGCTAGTGTGGCTCAGTGGATTCAGCGCTGGCCTGGGCAGCAGAGGGTCTCCAGTTCGAGTCCCAGTCTAGGACACATGCCTGGGTTGTGGGCGAGGTCTGCAGTAGGGAGCATGTGAGAGACAACCACACGTGGATACTTGTCTCCCTCTCATTCTTCCTCCCTTCCCCTCTAAAAAATAAATAAAATCTTAAGGAAAAATAAAGAGTTTATTTCATTTTTAGGGAGGGGAAAGGAGGGAGGAAGAGAGAAAGAGAAACATTGATTTCCTCCCTCATACCCCCAGCTGGGTACAAAACCCAGAACTGGCCATCTTTCCATCTGAGGATGAAACCCAACTAATTGAGCCACATCTGTCAGGCCAAGGGAAAGGGAATTTTAAAAATGTGACTTTGTGTTTTGTTGCTTTTCCCCTGGATGCATGATGAGAAACTGATGTAAATGTTTACATGCCTACAACTTCACAAACGCTGAAGGCATCCCCAACATGGAAAGCTGCAGTGGAGAGTGTCAGGGCCACAGCTCCATGGATTTCTGCTCCCCGTGTGCAAACAACTTAAACTGTGAGTTTTGGGAGTGGGAGAAGTCAGCATAAGTGATGATTTTTGCTAATTCTCTGGGGGGAAAGGGAGGCAACATAAATACAGGGTCCATCTACAAATGGAGGTGCACTTTCAGAGATTTAATTTTCTTTTCAGACAGGGCAAGGGAGGGAGAAAGTGAGAGAAACATCAATATGTTGTGGCCTCCCATGACTCCCTGTTGGGTACCTGGCCCACAACCCACACATGTGGCCTGAATGGGAATTGAACAGGCGGCCCATTGGTTGGCAGGACAACACTCAATCCACTGAGCCACGCCAGCCAGGGCCACTTTTGGAGTTTTCAAAAGCAGTTTTTAGTTGCTAGCGAACTCTTGGAAAAACAGGTGCCCGACCTTGAGCCATTTGTGTGTTTTTCCTTAAAATTTTTTTCATTTTTCACTTACACTGGACATGCAATATTGTATTAGTTTCAGGTGTACAGCATAGTGACTAGACATGAATATAGCTTTCCAAGTGATCCCCTGGTAAGTCCGGTGCCCACCTGGCACCATGCATAGTTGCTGCAATATTATTGACTATATACCCTGTGCTGCACTTTCCATCTGGGTGACTGTTTTGTAACTTTGGCCTGGAAACACAGCTGTCTTGCAGTTTGCAGCTGTTTTTTAAATTCTGGCATCACGGACCCTAGTTGCCTAAACCTGTGTTTAAGCCGACCCCCAGAATCTTCCTGAGCTTTCAGCCCCCACTCATGCTGTGCTGAATTGCAATGGGGTGGGATGCTCCCCTGAAGAAAGCAGCTCAGACTATGTATGTAATTGCTGCAGATTTAGGGTATCTCACTGGGGGACACTAAACCGTTAAACAATGTCATGATGCTCCCACTTCTGGGTGCATATTTGGAGGAAATGAAAACTTTACCAAAGAGATATCTATACCCTCATGTTCACTGCAGCATTGTTCACTGGAGCCAACAAATGGAAAAGACCTCAGGGTCTGTCATGGATCAAGACATGGTTTATATATACAATGGGATGGTATTCAGCCTCAAGAAAGAAGGAAATTCTGCTATTTGCAATAACATGCTACAGATCTTATGTGAGATAAGACAAATACCTTATGGCACCTTTTTATGTGGAATATTTTAAAAAGGGCATTAAAGCCCTGGCTGGTATAGATCAATGGATTGAGTGCCAGCCTGTGAACCAACTGGTCGTTGGTTGGATTCCCAGTGAGGGCACATGCCTGAGTTGTGGGCCAGGTCCCCAGTAGGGGGTGCTTGAGAGGCATCCAGATATTGATGTTTCTCTCCCTCTTTTCCCTTCCCTGACCATCCCTCTACAAATAAATTTGAAAAAATAAAATGTTTGGGGAAAAAACAAAAAGGGGGCATTAAAGCAGAGTAGTGGTGGTTACCAGGAAGTTGGGGAAATGGGACAGACATTTAAGGGCACAAACTTGTGACTACTAGGTAAGTAAGTCCTGGAGACCTGCTGCATGGTATATTGATTATAGTCAAAACTCTTGAAACATTCAGTTTGGTAAGAGGCTAGACCTTAATTATTGCAACTCTAGAAGAAATTGTGAGATGAGACAGCAGTGCTAGTTAAGTCAGTAATGCAAATCATGGTAAGAAATGTGTCAAATCAATGTGCTGTACCCCTTCAACAAAATGTCCTATGTCAAATAGAGCTCCAAATTGCTCTGGCCAGCAGAGCAGTCAACTGGAGCTCAACCACCTTCCTGGAACAAATGGGTCGAGGGGACAAGAGGCACGAAGAATGACAGCAAGACAGTAAATTCTGATCAAGCTGCAAATTTTATTTTTCCGTACTGGGTATATATATAGGGAAGAAGGGAGAGGAAGGAGATTAGGCTGCTTGCTGTTGGCTGGCTTAAGACAAAGGAGGGCCCGCTTATTGGTTACTCGGGTGTAACCTGTACTCGTGGACACCTCATGTGTCTGTAGCTGATTAGCTTGTGGAGCGCGTGCACACGGGGGGCTAGCCGGAGGTTATTTGGAAAGTCCCTGTTGATTAGAGGTTCTGATAGTCCACGGACTGTGCCTTGTAGCTAACCGCAGTGTTCTTAGCTAAAGGCCAGGTGCTCATTTCGGGGAAGTACGAGACCTGGGCAAGGTTCCCAACATCTCCCTTTTTATTACTTTGAGGGCGAGGAGAATGTAGGTAGGGTAGACTTTAACCGGCTGGGGGAGGTAGAGGCCTGACTCTTCCTGGGCTGATTCTGAGCTTTTGGGTACCTTTTGGGAGGAGAGGAGTTGGGTACCAACCTCTTTGCAAGTCAGCTTACCTCTCAGGAGACTGGAAGTGGCCGTATGTGTGGGCCTCTCCTTGCAGTGCTTTGCCTTGCACCCAGCGGTGTCTATCACAGCTACTTGGCTGTGAAGTATACCTTCAAGGGTTATGCTTCTCCCATAGGAAGGGAACCTGGCAGGAATCGTGGGCTAGCACCCCAGCGGCTGTACGGCTCAGAGTCCGCTCCGTGTTCCAGCATTTCTAATTGATGATAGTGCACCTGAATAGGTCTTCCTAGCACACTGTTAAGTTGGTCTTTGACTAAGTTGGTTACACGTCTAAGAATCCAGGGGGCAAAGGAGAGGATGAGGGTGATAGAAACTAAAGGTCCTAAGAGGGGAAGGAGGTAGGGGAGAACTCCGTTGAGTCCACCCCAAAGGGGGTGTTTGGAAAGTTCTTTTCTTCTTTTTTCTAGGTCTTCTCGTAATTTTTTTATCTTGTCTTGGACGATGCCTGATTTGTTGGCATAGAAGCAGCAGTGTTCCTGTAAAAGCCAAACAGACACCTCCCTGTTCTGCAGTAAGTAAATCTAGACCTCGTCTGTTTTGAAGGACAACTTCTGCTGGGGAGTCTACTTGGTCTTGGATGTCACTAATGGATATTAGTGAGTTATGGATATTAGCTGTCCATGAGATGCTCTGTTTGTTTTTGTACGGAGTGTTCTCTTACGAGATCTTGTGGGCCGCCACCATCAGAGATGTATGTGGGGGCTGCTCGTTGCCAGCATACTGGCTGACCTATGGTGCCTGAGCAGCTAGCTTGCAGGTATTTAGTGGAATGAGTACCAATAACAGGCGAGCTGGATCCCCAATCTCCTAAATTGGCAGCATCTTTTGTTTTTTTTGTAGTATGGCGGTAAAATAAGTGGTATTGCTGGAAATACACTCTTGTACTTTATCATAACAAGTGGAATGCATCGCAGAGTGAAAGGTAGTACATGTTTGAGGGCATGGCCCTGGCCTACCGTTTATGGTAGGTATGATAGGGGGTTTGGGGACACAAAGCCACTTTGGTTTAGTGGTTCCCATGGTGTTCTGACCATAGCTAAGGTAGGTCTTTTTTGAGCCACAATCTACTACTTGGGTGTAGGATTTGGGAGTAGCGTGGTTAGTGGTGGTACCTCCTTCACAGTCACA